AAGACCATGTTTTTGCAAAGGTGCTTTGGCAAATAAGGCCAAAATTAGCCCTCATCACTCTAGGAGAAATCATCTATTTTCAGGCAGGGTGGAGGGAAAACATTTTTTGGAAATGAGAACAGCCACTGGACAAGAACGGCCTGTACATAAACAGTTCTTTAAGCTGGTTAGATGGGTAATCAAGGAGGGGGCCGGAGTGAAGGAAATGTTATTGAAGAGATGAAGCAAGCATTTTGCAGAGGTGATGTTTATTCTGTGCCAGCTCATGAAAAGGTTGGCCCACAAAGCTGTCCTCAGTCTGCAACATCTGGTAGCTGATGTCACCTGGCACTTACCCTCGCGACCTGAGTTCCTTTGGCGAATCTCATGATGTCACCTGGGTCCCTCCGCTCCCTCAAACCTCCAAGAGGAATGGACTCCACACCTACACAAACACCTAGCTGCGGATGCATAAGCTCTCGTCTGTTTCTTCAAATCACAGGTTATAAGAAAGTCAACGCATGGCATATGTAGCCCACAGAGAGGGAGCGAGACCCCCCACAGTCCAAAAAGCCTGAAAAGCGTCCAGATTCCAGAAGGTTCCACATGTATAGACTTTCCCATTCCATTAACGGTCACTGCATTTTTTTAGAGTTTTATTTTTATTAATGTCAAGGCTGTGAACATACCTAATCGTCCTTCTTCCTCCTTTTCCTCACAACAATAACCCTGTGAGGAAGGTTGGGCTTTGAGAGGTGACTGGCCCAAAGACACCCAGTTAGCTTTCATGTCTAAGGTGGAACTAGAACTCCCAGTCTCCTGGTGATTGGCCCAAGTCACCCAGATGGCTTTAATACTTAACAGGGGACTAGATTTTAACACCTAATGGGGACTAGAACTTCCAGTCTCCTTATAATTGGCCTGAAGCCATCCAGATGGCTGTTGTGACTAAAGTGGAACTAGAACTCCCAGTTTCCTGACCCAAAGTCACCCATCCAGCTTTCATGCCAAAGGTGGGACAAGAATTCATTGTCTGCTGGTGATTGGTCCAAAGTCAGCCAGTTGGCTTTCATTCATTAACAGTTAACTTTGGATAAAGCAATGACAAAATGATTTGGTTGCCCAGCCAATACGCTATTCATAAATCCTATGTCTGAAACACACATGTATATAACAATTGTGCATCCCTGTGTACAAAGAGATAAAAAATGGGGATGTTCAGAAAAAAAGTGGTACTTCAGTTGTATAACTGTGCTAAAACTGTGTCATCCATAGTTTGTTTTCCTTTTCCAAGACATTGTATAATATAGTCTGTACAGTAAACCATCAACATCACATGGCATTCAGAATGACTGCATTGGTAATGAAAGGACACAGATAATGCAAACAGATGCCTGATCTTTGGAATGGTTGACCCACAGAAATGTTACTGACATATTGTGTATTACAAGAAAAGATGCAAAGGACAGAAAAACATCACAGTCTCACATTCAGGTTTGGCCTAAATCTACAATTCTTGCAACCAAAGTTGCCAGAAGTGGGTTGGTTGGGCATGGTTTGGTTTCAATGCTTTGGAGCATGAGAAGAACACATCCAAGTGGCTTTTCTGAAAACTGCTCTCTTGTCACTGGCCTGGAATGCGTCTATTTTGGAAGAAGAAGAAGAAGAAAAAGGATCCTTGATACAACAATGACTCAGGACTGTCTTCTCTGCCAAGAACAATGAGTCCCAGGACAGAACTATATTTTATCCCCACCCCCCATAGTCTTGCAGTGATGTCCCCAAAAGCAGGGATTCGTGCCATAACTGCAGTGATAGGAACCATATCCCTATTGTGCAGGACAACTTAAATGCCAGTGCATCTTAAAAAACTGTAGAGAGTGATTCAAGGAGTGGGATTCAACCAGTGTAACAACTGGTTCGGTGAGTGCGTGCTACTGCAGGCCCCGTGAGTAAAACAGCTGAGGTGCGGTAATCCTCTGTTCTGCTTGAAACAGCTGAGCTGCAAAACATGGAAATAAAGGACAGCCTAGGGCAGGACCTCCACAATGATCACCAGAACAACCGGTTCGCCCGAACCGGTAGAATCCCACCCCTGGGTTGATTGTCTTACAACTTGAGATGCAGGCCTATTAGAAAGCTATTTGTTTTCTCAGAACATGGAAGATGATGGAATGGCTTACTTTCAGAGGTGGTATTCAGCAGGTTCTGACCAGTTCTGGAGAACCAGTAGTGGAAATTTTGAGTAGTTCAGAGAACCAGCAAATCCCACCTCTGTCTGGAGATTTTACAGTCTCCTTCCTTTGCCACGCCCACCAAGCCACGCCCATTAGAACCGGTAGTAAAAAAATTTGAATCCCACCTCTGGTTGATTCAGAGAGTTCAACCCCTTCCTTCAGCTAAGCATTGCCTTTTGAGAATCCATCTTCTCCAGAAGCAAGTCAAAGAAGGCCTGACCTTCCAGGCTCTGATTTCATATTTGCTCTTCTGTGTTGTGTTTCTTCTCTAGAGAACTGTACCAAAGGTGCTTTTTCAGGAGGCAACTGGACTTTCTTTTTCTTTTCTTTGAAGATGCTTCACTTCTCATCCAAGAAGCTTCTTCAGCTCTGACTGAAGGAGAAGGTGGGGAATGGAAGGATTTATATTCCTTGCAGACAGCTGGTCATTTGCATCCTTTTAGAAAGTCGTTGAGGCTGCTTGGAGGTTTATCTGTATCCTCAGGGTCACCTCAATAGTGCTAATGGTTCCTGCCATCTGCAATTTTTTCCTCTGGAAATCCATTCCTATTTCCACACCATTCAAAGGGTGTCCATCCCAAATGTAGAGCTAAACATCTGTAGAGATTCTCAGTCATCCAGGTCATGGTTGTCCCAAAGGTGCTTTTTCAAGAGGCAATCTTTGGGACAACCATGACCTGGCTGGCTGAGAATCTCTACAGACTCTGGAGAACTAGAGTTGTATTTTCAAGGAAGGTGGCTTTAAGAGGACATCATGTGATTTTTTCCCATTGGGGTGAATGTAGAATACCTAAAAACATTTTAAGACCTTCCTCTTTTCATAAATCCAGGGGTGAATTTCACCAAGGACTCCACGGTTGCAAATATGTTTACAAGAAGGTAGTTCACTTGTTCATCACCTTACACCCTAAGTTGGCTTAAAATCAGAGTTTCTCTCAATTTCATCATAGATAAAGCAGTCGATAACATAATGGATATTGCCCTCAACAAATCCAATTGACCCAAGTGTATAAGAGGCATGTGTCAACATTTTCAGTTTGCGAGCATCCATTCACTGTAAGAAATAAAAGGGTTCAAGGACAGAGGTAAGGAGGTAATCCAGACTTTATACAGGCAATTCTCTTTTTTCTTCTTAGTTTCTTGATTTCCTGTCTTCCTCTTGGCTTACTTATTTCCTATCCCCCTTTCTAAAAATACCATAATAATAATAATATAAAGTGATTCAAATAATCAAGCAGGGTTCGTATTCTCCCGTGCCATGTCATTCCCCTTTGATCACATTCAAAACACAAATGAGCTAATAACTTTGAGGACCTTGTGAGCTTCTCCCAAAGCTTCTGGGAGCCAAACGCATCCCTGGGGCTTCGGATGTGCATCTTTGACATAGATGCATACATAAATGAGGGACCAAATGCATTAAATTGTGGTTTACTGTGAGCATCTTTGAGACCTGCAATATCCCATGACTGGATCTAATCAATGATTTTGTGTATGTCTAAGTTGGAGAGAGAGAGAGAGAGAGAGAGAGAGAGAGAGAGAGAGAGAAAACCACAGGATGAGTTATATCCAAATTTATTTCCTCCCCTTCCACCTCATTTCCCCGCCCCACACCCCCATCTGAGCTCATTTATGGTTTCGAGTCCAAAGCAACATTTGGGTTGCCAAATCCATCCTTCCCACACCTCCCAATCAGTTCACTGTGAGCCGAAGCCCAGAGCAATATGATCAGGATGATAGTTGGTGCAGCTGTTAGGAATCATCACAAGACCTAACTCTATTAAAGTCGGACGGAGAAGGAAGGAGGGGAGGCAGTGTGTTCCATTCCTTTGCTTGGTCTACTGTGAATCCATTCCCAGCAATGAGCATGAACTCATTGCAGTCCAAGGCACATTTGGAACGGCAGATTACACACCCAAAGACACGTATATGCACATAACTTTAAAAGAATCTGTAGGAAAGGAACTTGTACTGGCATTCAGACCGATGAAACTATGCTCCATAGAACATAGAATAGAGTTGGAAGGGACCTTGTAGGTCATCTAGTCCAACCTCTCCCCGCCCAAGCAGGAGACCCTACACAATTTCTGACATATGGCAGTCCAGTCTCTTCTTGAAAGCTTCCAGTAAGCTTCTGAAGGCAATTTCTGTTCCATTGGTTGATTGTTCTCCCTGTCAGAAAATTTATCCTTGTTTCCAGGTTGAATCTCTCCTTGATCAGTTTCCATCTGTTATTCTTTGTCTGGCCTTTGAGGGCTTTGGGAAATAGATTGACCCCTTCCTCTCTGTGACAGCCCCTCAAATGTTGGAGCACTGCTATCATGTCTCCCCTGGTCCTTCTCTTCACTAGACTAGCCATGCCCAGTTCCTGCAACTGTTCTTCGTATGTTTTAGCCTCCAGTCTCCTAATCATCCTGGTTGTTCTTCTCTGCACTTCTTCTAGAGTCTCAACATCTTTTTAATAGTGTGGTGACTAAAACTGGATGCAGTACTCTACTTTTAAGGCTTTATAGAGTGGTATTAGTACCTCCAGTGATCTTGATTGTATTCCTCTCTTAATGCAATTTAGGATTGCATTGGCCTTTTTGGCTGCTGCTGCACACTGTTGGCTCTTCTAGCGCAACTCCCTGCTTGAGCAGAAGACCACATACCATTTCAGACAGTCCAGACTCTTTTTGAAAGCCTCCAGTGATGGAGCACCCACAACTTCTGAAGGCAAGCTTGGTTGATTGCTCTCCCCATTAGGAAATATCTCCTTAGTTCTAGGTTGCTTCTCTCCTTGGTTAGTATTCCAACCATTGTTTCGTGTTTTGCCTTTTGGTGTTTTCATTGGAAAACATTTGGACCCCTCATCTTCGTAGGAGCTCCTCAAATATTGGGACAGTGCTATCATGTCACCCCTATGTTCAAATTCAAATTGTATCCACGTATCACTTTTTGTTTATGAATCAAATGCAAAAAAAAACCCCTAACCACACTTTTCCAATTGGGCTTTAATTCAGAAGTGACTGTAAAGAAGATAACAATCAAATGACTTTCTAATTTGGAGATCATATCCTTGCTGTTGGCCTCAATTGTGTGAAATATTTCTGGGAAAACTAAACTGGTTTTCAGAAGCTGCATTAGGAATTAAGGAACACCAGAGAAAGAATTCTTGAAGGCTTTGCAGAAAACAGTTAGTGTAATCTTAATCTGTATTAACAGTGATTTAAGGACATTATAATGACCTCCGAGGTATCCCAAGAAATTTTCTCTTGATGGCCCCCACAGAAAATCTAGAAAAAAATAAGTTTTTCTAAATGCCACCCACCCCATTCCTCTTCTTATGCACTGCCTGAAAAATCTCCCGTTTGAGGCTATCTGGAATGGTCTCGTATTTTTCTTATAAGCACTGATAGGATTGTAATATGTTTGGCATTTTTTTCACCCTGGAAACCAAGAATTTCTGAGCCAGGGATATCCATCTGTTACTAAGAGGATGTGTATACGTAAGGTGTGGAAAAGTGGTGGTTTTTTTGATTACTGGAATAATCTAACAGTTATCACAGCTGGGAAGGAAAAATAATTTGTTCCTGAAGCCTGCCCCAACGTTAGAAAATGGGACAAAGAAACATAAATTTGCTTAATCCCTATCTTTTTTTTCTTTTTTTAGCTGATGGTTTAGGATTAAATCAAGACCAGGACAAATCTGGGATTGATTTTTAATATTTTAATAGAATGTACTCACACGACTAGTCTTTTCTGTGCTCTAGAAAAGCAAACGAGAAAAATCGATTCTGAACTATTCCCAAGAAGGGTGATCTATTGGGAGATTTTATTTCTGAATGTGGATCAACTTAATAATCAGCATCAGCATTGGGCTTGGAGAAGAACTGTAAGGGTACAATAAAGAAAGAGAAAAAGAAAAAAATGAGGATGTTCATCTCAAAATTTATGGGAAAGTTGGGAGAATAGACTAGACTAGACTAAGAATAGAAATAGAAAAACAGAAATAGAAATAGAATAAACCAAAACAGAACAGAATAGAATAGAATAATGGAATGAAGAATAAAAGAGAATAGAGAATAGAGTAGAATAGAATGGAACATAACAGAATAGAAGTGGAAAATAGAATAGAATAGAATAGGGAAAGAATGAGGAAAGTATGAGGAAAAATGGATAGGATAGGATAGGATAGGATAGGATAGGATAGGACAGGGCAGGGCAGGGCAGGGCAGGGCAGGGCAGGGCAGGGCAGGACAGGACAGGACAGGACAGAACAGAACAGATATTAGAATGTAGAATAGAATAGGATAGGATAGGGTAGGATAGGATAGGATAGGATAGGATAGGACAGGACAGGACAGGATATTGGAATGTGGACTAGAATAGTGGAATGAAGAACAGAACCATATGGAATAGAATAGAATGGAGCTGGAAGGGACCTCAGAGGTCTTCTAGTCCATCCCCCTGTTCAAGCAGGAGAAGCTATACTATTTCAGATAAGTGACTGTCTAGTTCAGTGATGATGAACCTTTTGGGCCTTGAGTGTCCAAAGTGCTTGTGCTCATGCATACCCAAAATGCAAGCGCCCTCCCCACTGTGTGCATGCACCACCCTGCATGTGTGTGGCCCCATGCATGTATGCGCTCCCCCTGTATGTGCCCTGCCCTCACACATATGCGGCAGAGCCCTGAAGGCCAGATGGCTGGCGGGACGCATGCACACATATGTGGTGGAGCTGAGCTGGGGCGACAGCATCTGTGCCTACAGGGAGGACTCTGCACGCCACCTGTGGCACGGCTGCCATAGGCTTGCCACCCCAGGAGCCTCTTCTTAAGCTAGTTCTTAGTTCTTCTTAGCATGTAGGTTGCAATAGTCCTCAAATAAAAACCATTCATTTATCCACTGTTCAGAGCTGTAACAGGACTGAAGAAAGCAACTACCAACCAGTCCTCACGCTTATGACCATTGCAGCATCCTCATGTTCATCTGATCGAAATTCAGGCACCTGTAGATGGGGATGCACTTATGAGGCTTGCAGGGATCCAGGGTCGTGTGATTGTCATTTGTGACTTTCCCAGCTGGCTTGCCCAACAATCAGTGACCGCAGGGGAAGCCAGATTCACTTAATGACATACGATTTACTTAAGAACTGCAGTGATTCGCTTAAGAACTGTGGCAAAAAAGGTAAAAAAAACAGAAAAAAAGCAGGTGTGTGGCTCACTGAGCCACCACCCTGCTTAACAACCAAAACCCTGGTGCCAGTTGTGATTGCAAGCCAAAGACTCTTGCTATCACCCCATGGGATTTCTACAGCACTCACCCCTTCCACTCTCCAAGCTCTGTCGTCCATCCAGAAATGCAAAGGCAAAACACACACACACACACACACAGAAACACACACACACATCAACACACACAAACCTGGAGTTGATTTTAATTTCATTGCATCATTCGGGAATTCTTATTGTACTCCAAATCTTTCTCTCTCATCTCCTCTTTTTTTTTTTCCCCCTAATATTTTGTTTTGTTTTGCTGCTGTCCTGGAGCACATGAGTTCTGGTACCATAGCAACTCCACATCACTGCCTCTCATTTCCTCCTGCTTAGCACCTGATGAAAACCTAGTTAGAAGTGAATTAAGGAAAAGGATTACCCTTGGACAACAATGATTGCCAATGATAGCGTTTATCTATTCAAGAGCTGCATTGTGCTAAAGGCAAAAAAAAACCAGAAACATGTTCCTTATTAAGCAGAGACTTCCCCCCATATGCTGTTGTTAACTGCTGCTGTTGCTAATTAAGTATCTCTCCAGGAACTTTCAAGTTCTACTTCTGAATGGAAGTTGCTGAAGATACTTCTTTGTTGGTGATTATAAATGATTAGAATAGTCTGCAGCCTGCTATTTCACTGTAGTTGCCTGTTGTCTGGCTTATCAACTTCTAAGAATGCTGATAAGCCAGACAGTTCATATAGAATTTAGAGATACAAGAGAATGTGTGTAGTTTGGGGTCCTTGGTGCTCTCTGAGTTTGGTGGTTTTCTTGCAGATAGTTCATTACTCAACTAAGTAACATCATCAGTGCTAGAAGGGAGTGGGGTTTGAGAAGGAGAAGGAGAAGGAGAAGGAGAAGGAGAAGGAGAGGGAGAGGGAGAAGGAGAAGGAGAAGGAGAAGGGGAAGAGGAAGAGGAAGAAAGGAAGGAAGGGAAAGAGAAAGAAAAGAAACAAAAGAAAGAAGGAAGGAAAGAAAAGAAAAGAAAAAAAAGAAAAGAAAAGAAAAGAAAAGAAAGAAAGAAAGAAAGAAAGAAAGAAAGAAAGAAAGAAAGAAAGAAAGAAAGAAAGAAAGAAAGAAACTCTGCATTGTATATCCCTCAAGGGGAACCGAAATAGTCTGAGGTGAATTGATTTGCAAATGGAGCCAGTCTTGTCTTCCTGAAATCCTGGCAGAAATATTATGTCAACGACCCTAAGGAGAAAAGGAAAAGATGAAGATGGTAGAATATTTTTTTGCTTTTTTCAATGACACAACCAGAAAAAAAAGTCTGAAATCTGACAGGACTCGGATCCAAATTCTCCGGAGCTGCTTCGTGCTACTCTAGTGAAAAGAAAGTGGCGTGGGTCATGGGATTGCATGAAATTGCCTGGAAGATCCGACCTTCTCAAGAAGTTTCTTCCGCTTGTTACGGCTACAGAAACTTAAAGGTAAGCCGTTAAATCAGAGACACGCATTCATTTCTAGGCTGAGGGTTTTATTCTCTCTGACTCTAACAGACTGTAAAGCTGTAACGGTGGGACTCGGACCAGAACTAAATTAGATTCCATTTTATTTGCTCATAATTCAATAAAGTTAGTTAACATGATTATTCCCCAGTTGTGGGTTTCATAATTTTCCTCTTTTGTCACATGAAATGTGACAATTCAGGAATAAATTTCTGAGGCTTTGTGGGGTGTCTGCATGCAATCATAGAAAACTCAAAGGAATCATGTAATTCAGCTCTTGCGCAACCATTGGAAAACATTACTGCTCGTCCCAGAACCATCATCAATCAAACGCTGCTTTTAAACAAACCAAGTTTTTGTTTAGGTTGCGTTCTAAACCCTGCAGTTTAGTGTTTTATAATTTTGGTGTGTGTCAGGCCAGATAGATGTTTCTTTTATCTGTAAAGATGTAAAACTATTCTGAGTGAAATCCGGCCCACTCCTCAAATTTGCCCTAACATTTTTTTTTTATCTTTTCCCTTTTCCAGTTCCTGGTAATGAGAAGTAAGCAAAAGAGTTATTTTTATGATCACTTGCCTGCCCTTGGCAGATCAAACTATGGACCTTCTAATGTTGAGCAGGAACCTTTTACTTCACTGTGTCCATATACAATGACATAAAGATGATTATGTACTGCATGACTATAATCCCCAAATTACCTTTTTCCTCCTCCTCCTCCTCCTCCTCCTCCTCCTCCTCCTCCTCCTCCTCCTCCTCCTCCTCCTCCTCTAGTTAATCTAACTGTAATTGCTTTTGTTCTTTAGTCCTTAGATTTCCATAGCCTCCAGGCTCAAAGATTTGGCTTAGCAAGGAGACAATTTCTTCCACTTCGTTCCTTTATTGTTTCTGGGTGAAATCCAGTGTCAAGTGAGTGGAAGACTGCTTACATGATGGAATGTTTCTCCCTCCTTCTTCTCCATCAGCTAGCTCAACAGGGCCTCCAAATCTCTACAGTAGATTGTTGTAGGTGAAAATATTAGCAATGCCCACATATCCATTGGTAAAGCACAGAAGGAAGGAAGGAAGGAAGGAAGGAAGGAAGGAAGGAAGGAAAGGAAAGGAAAGGAAAGGAAAGGAAAG